ATAATAAAAAGAGACATAATTTCGTAATTCTTTTTTTGTTAATCATTTTACCCTAAACAAGTTACTAAGACACAGGGAGTTACTGAATGTGAGAAAATATAAGAGAAAAAGATTAATGAGTGAGAACAATAATAAAAAAAAAACAGAAATTAAGATGAAACTAAATAATGATTGACATTGCATTTAATGTTTTGAAGATCAAAGTTGACGACAAAGCAAGAAACCAAAAGAGAGTGCCACAAGCAAAGAGTATAAGAAAAGAAACTGTTAGCATAGAATTTAGTTACATCTAGCCATTTTAACTGTAAAGTAATGAAACCTAACTGCCAATCTAGTACTACACTTAAATTCATAAAGTCTCAGTACCAGAGAGGAAAGTAAAATTTATTTTGAAAAATACAAAAATGTGACACAAGGCCAAAAGGGGGAGATAGGGGAAGTGTGGTTTTCAATATGTCTTATCTTAAACTTAGCTAACCACGATTACTGACCCAAACATATCACAGTATTCCTTACACCAAAACAACACATTCTTATTTACATTTTTATTACAGCCACCATAATACCTCAAGGTCTCTATAGAGGAAAGTTCATCAGAACATTTATCATGAAAGTATTTATAGGCATAGGGGAGCTATATTACTGTGGCGGGAAAATAACTGAAGGTCAAGACCATTGACATTACAGATTCTTCTTGGGATTTTATTAAGGATCTCTAAATATATTGCAGAAGCAGCTTACCATAAATGGTAACAATATTCTAAGTATGGATGAATGGTAGACTTATACATCTATTTGATGTTTTGGCACACATTGTCAGTGAAGTATTTAAAATAATCATGATAGAATAATAATAACAAAGACATAATAAAAACAATAAATGGTCATAATAAAAATCTAATAATAATAATGAATAAATAAAACCTGTAATTATTTTTGCTCATGTTTTTTCTGATTACATAAATGAACTTTTCTCACCTTTTCTTTGTCCTCTTCATCGTCATCATCATCATCATCGACATAATCCTAGAAAAAAAAAAAAATAAACAATAAAAAATATATAAAAAGTAAAAAAAAAATGTCCAAAATGTCATCATATTTTTTGCACGTGATAATCAGGAAAGACAAAACACCATTAAATCTATATCTTCCCAAATCAATGATTTATTTAATGCAAACGTTTCTACCATTATACTTTGATATAATATTTTCTTGTGGTATTTGTTTCAGTTTTCTAAGTGAATTCTATTGTATATACTTGACTTCATTTAGTTTATTCTGCATTGCCTACATTGTTGGCATTGTACTGATATTTGAATTTATTAATTCAGTCAGTTATGTGCCATACATGATACGCGCTTAGGCAATCATGTATCTTTTAATACATGACTGACGAGGCAGGTTTTTCCTGCACTAGGTTGCCATTTCTTTCTGCGGTAGACCAGTTGCCATCCAAGGCTGTAGAACTCTGTCTGTCCTGCTATTTACCCACAGCCGGCAGGGGGGAGAAGAAGAGGATTCATACCTTTCCCAAGGGTATTAGCACGTAAGTGAATGTAATGGATTTGACTGGAATTCAAACTCGGCTCTCTGATTCCTCAATCCGAGCCTCTATCTATTACTCCACCATGATGGGGAGGCAGAACATCCTCCAGAATTTTCTTATTTGTAAACAGCAGGATATGTTGAAGTTAAGATGTTGGTCTTTTTTTTTTTTTTTTTTATTCTCTTCTCTTTCACAAATAATATTGGATTAATTGTTCGATATAAACATAAGCAACTCTGGAACCACAGTTCTGTTGCCTCGAGTCTTCTCTTTATCTGTGAAGAGATTATCCAGCATTCCCTGTTATCCAAGAAGATTATCACATAACAGTTAAACATACTTTGTTTTTAATAATTTTTTTCTATTTCTAAGTATATTGCTTAGCTTTTGGAAGGCATCTTTCACTAATCCAATGCACATTTGGATTTCAGTGTCACATTTTCCTTCCTCTGTTGAAATACTTCCCAGACCTTTAAACTTCTGTACTTGTTTGATCAGAGAGCTGAGTTCGAATTCCAGTCGAATCCATTACATTCTCTTATGTTCGAATACACTTTGGAAAGGTATGAATCCTCTTCTTTCCCCCCAGCTATAGGTAAATGGCAGGACAGACAGGGTTCTATAGCCTTGGATGGCAACTGGTCTACCGCAGAAAGAAATGGCAACCTTATATGGGAAAAAATCTGCCTTGAAAGATACATGATCGCCTAAACGTGTATCATGCATGGCACATAACTGACTAACTGATGTTGACATCTCCAATTCAAAGGTTGTATAATGAACTTTGTCTTTTGCTAACAACTATACTTTTTGTTTCCTTACAGTTGAGGGTTAGTCCTTCCTTCTTGCCTTCCTTCACTACCCTGTCTAGGAGGTCCTGTAGTTTTCTTTCTATGTTTGCCATCAACACAGTGTTATCTGCCTATCTCTTATGATGTTGATTTGGGGTTAGTAGAGACAATTGCCAAATAACACGTAACAATAAAAAGGGTTTTAATAGGTTGGTAAAAAGGTACAGAAATCGCCTGAGTAGTCAATAACTAGCTCAGCTAAGAACTTCTCTGTCTATCTGTCTTCTCCCATGTCAACTGACATGCCACTATTTAAAGTCTTTGTTCACAGACGCAGACAAGTTCATCTTCAAGAGGGGTGGTAGGTTTCCGACACAACACTATCTTAGATTGTTAATATGTCCATTGATGATAAATCCTGTTATGGTTTCCGGAAACACATATCATCATATTAATAATCAGTGGGATAATTTGAATTATAACATTGAAACTAATAGGTGAGAAGGAAAAATGTTGGTCTCTTTTTACTCTTCATTTACACTACTATTTTGATTGATTGATTACGTTTTTTAAGGCTTATCAACCTTTTGCAGGTTATTTAAAGCCAGAAAATATTTTTAGATTGTAAGAATTTTTTGGGGATAATGTGATGATTCGTTTCCTGCACAAGCTTTGATGACATACAAGGTTGGCTGTATGTGTATACACCTGGCTCGCTATGTTCACATGTTTGTCTCACTGGCTGTGATCAAATTCAACAAAGAATAATAACAAATACTTTTCAAGACACTGGTTGTGAAGTAGCAATTTCTCACTAATTGGTAAGGTCTACTAACTTCCGGCCATGGAAGAAGGACCCTTACACTTGATGCCTAACCGTCTCAGTGACTGTTGACTTAATCACTGCTTGTCCATTTCTCACACTCTGCTGACTTCCTGACTAACTCATTATATAGATACTGGCTGGTATCTGTCCACTTGTATTCTGGAAAAGGAGACCAGCCATTCAGCTTTTGGATGGTCAGTTTCTCAAAGGACTCTATTTTTATTACTATCTAAAATCACTAACAAAATTTTATGTTTGCCAATTCAAAGGTCGGCTGGAGTCAGGATTCCTAAAAAATCCTGGTCATTAAATTGATGCAAAGATGGGCTGGAGACAAGATCCCAAAGAATCCTGGCCATTAAATTGACTTAAAAGGAAAATCTATCTATCTATCTATCTATCTATCTCCTAAGGATGTGTGAGAATTCATATTGCTACAATAATAAGGATTTTTACTGATACA